GGGTTTTTGATGAGAAAAACGATCGAAAATATCGCATGGTAATAAATGGATATTGTGAGAATGGATGTCTTAGGTTTTGAAAAGTTGGGAATTTGTTATGCCTTAGTAGCATCGGGGGGAATGAATTGAATCTCAAAGAAGTCAAAAACTAGTTGCTCTAAGAATTTTGGAAATGGATAAAGATTTAATGTGCTGCTAAATTTAAAGAGATTTTGGAATAACTTGATGGTCACGACACGATTTATAAAAAGCAAGATCACAGAGAAGACCGCTCGTCATCGACACTGAGGAATAGGCAGATTGAGACCTCAGTGTCGTTTGACGGTTTTCTTATTTCTGGAGCAATGGCTCACCCGCGGGGGGGGGGGGTTGGGGGTCAAACACCCCCCAGGACCATATTCCGACACTGTTATTTACAAATTGTAAGGACTTAAAATGGTGGAGGTAGCATAAAAAAATTTTTGGTGCCCAACCAAACCTACCCTCAGAGGACAATTCTAGGTGCGCTACTGTTCTGGAGAACAAGATACTAGTACATGCTAGTACGTCACGAGCGAGGGGAGCAGGTAGATTGAGACACCGAACATATCCCTGTTGATAATGGCTCCAAAATGGGTGCTAAAACCGAGTTTTAAATTTCAAGATTTAAATACAGTTAAGAGTCGCTTCATGCGACGAGAAGAGTCCGTTATACAACATGTCAATTTTTTCAAATTGTAATAAAATCTATAAAAAAATCTAAAAAAATATGAACTTAATTTATTCAATTTTAAAAAAGGTTATATAAATATTAAAAATACAGAAACATAGAACACAGTACCGCCTACTGTACCACTTTTTTGGTAGTGGGCACATATTTCTGTTAACTGCACTTTTTATACCGACATTAGAAAAAATTCCTAGTTTAAAGTTAAAAATACGTACTTTACAGTAAAAAACGGGCACATTAATTTGAATTAATCACAATAAAATATTATTTTTTTGATGGTACACAAGGCAAATATAGAACACAGTATTTAATCAAATCTTGCCCAAGTACTTTCGATCACAAGATCATCTTCAAGGGCATCTGAAATAAGCCAAGAAACGTTTTTTTAAAAAAGGAAAATTAATTCACTTGGATAAAAACTCCAGTTGAAAAAAGTTTTTTATGTGATTAACGTTTATAGACTTACTTCGTCAGTTGTGGCCTATCCAGCAATAACAGAATGTCATAAATGTAAATTGGGACATAAGAAATACACTAAACAAAGACAAACAAACACTTTAAAATTTAAAATTGGAGAAGCTACATTTTATATAGAACCGGAGACAGAATGGCTCACAGCCTGGCGGAGGCGAAATATTGAGATGACATGTGACAAATGACAGCTTGTGAAGGGAAGTTACAATAGATAAGTGATCTGCGCCTTTCAAGATTCTATGAAACTAAGTATTGACCAAAGGTCAACTGATACCACTATAGGAAATCAACTGAAGAAATATAAAATTATATCTAATATTTTATGTAGATTGAATAATCCAGATCTCACACTCAAACCTGTCTATAATAATTAGGATGTTAGTTTGAGAGCAATTGAAGTTGACATAAAGTATGAATGTAAGAAATAGACTAAACAATATATTAGACAGTGGATAGTTGACTACAATAAAATGGTCCACTAAGCACTATCAGTACTATAAAAAGAAAATCTGAATATTCAGTTGAATTGTTAAAAATTAAAATCAAAATTAAAAGCAAAATATATAAATGGGTTGTAATCCAAGTAGGTCAGTTGAATCCACAGTCAATGGAAGATCTTTCAAATTTCTCCATCAAAAATTCTTTAGATCTAATAGAACGTTTAAATAACATTAAGATAGAAGAGGGTTTTTATTTAGTTTCTTTTGATGTTTCCAATTTGTTTACTTCTGTACCAATGTTATTTAAACTAATTTGTATCCTAATGTTATTTAAACGTTCTATTAGATCTAAAGAATTTTTGATGGAGAACTTAGGTTTAAAATTAGTGATAGACTGAATTGTGTTGTAGATGAACTCTGGTAAAATAGAAACTGGAGTGTTACAAAAATTAACTACAGGCCTTATGGGACAATTGTGTTTATGGATTTTATTATAGATACTCTTTTAGAAGGTATGACTAAAAATGCTGATATAAAACAATATTTGAGAAACTCTTGCATTAGCTTACTTCAACAACAACAATGTAAGTACAAACGCAATTTTCGTAGAAATCATCATAATTTTAAAAAACAGAAGTATTTGCTAAAATCAATTAAACATAAAATTGATAGAGATTCTCTTGTACTCAGCAAGGCTGATAAGGGAAATTGTGTTGTAATCTTAGAACAAATTCAATACATTGAGAAAGTAGAATATTTTCTTTCAGATAACAGTTTTGTAGTTTTGGATAAAAATCCACTTAACACCTTTATTAATAAAACAAAAGCAATGGTTAAATTGTTTAATGACACTATTACTAAATATAACAACAGAAAGTTAACTGTATCTAATCCTATAACACCTAGGTTATATGGACTTCCTAAAATCCATAAACACAATTGTCCCATAAGGCCTGTAGTAAGTTTTTGTAACACTCCAGTTTCTATTTTATCAGAGTTCATCTACAACACAATTCAGTCTATCACTAATTTTAAACCTAAGTTCTCCATCAAAAATTCTTTAGATCTAATAGAACGTTTAAATAACATTAGGATAGAAGAGGGTTTTTATTTAGTTTCTTTTGATGTTTCCAATTTGTTTACTTCTGTACCAAGAGATGAAACTTTATCTTTAGTACACAACCTTCTAGATATTTGCAACATATCTGCAAAGGATAAAGATGCTATATCAACTATGCTTAAAATTCTGTCTTGATCAGGACTTCTTTCAATTTAACCAAAACATATATAAGCAACCAACAGGTTTAGCAATGGGATCTCCATTATCACCTTTTCTAGCTGACATTTTCTTAGACAGCTTAGAACAGAAGTTTGATAACAACAAAAACAAAATAGTTTTTTGGTCAAGATATGTGGATGATTGTATAGCTCTCATTAGGGGAACCCAAGATGATGCTCTACAGATTCTGGATGATCTCAATAACCTCCATCCTAACATCTCTTTTACTCTGGAACCAGAATCTTACAATAAGTTGAATTTCTTGGATATGACTATATCCCGTAACAAAGATTCTTTAGATACAACATTTATAGAAAACCCACCCAAACAGATCACGCTATACATGGAACGTCTAACCACCCAACTCAGCATAAAATGGCTGCTTTCAACAAATACATTCATCGATTACTTAAATTTCCTCTTTCTGATGATAATTTTAATACAGAACTCAATACTCTTAAGCAGATTGCTGTCAATAATGGCTATGATCCTAACATTATATACAAACTTCTAAATAGAGCTAAACTAAAAATTGCAGAAAAGCTTGCATATTCATCACAGTCTTTTTAACCTAATGTTTTCGATAACATCAGATATTTCTCCTTCACTTATATTAGCAGCATTTCCAATAAAATATCTAAACTTTTTACTTCTACAATTGATAACATCAAAATCTCGTTTAAATCACATAACACTTTAGGCTCCTTCTTAATCAATACCAAAGATAGGATGAATACACTTGATAAAAGTGGTATTTACAAATTAAAATGTGATGATTGTGATGCCTCTTATGTAGGTAGAACCATCAGAAAGTTATCCACTAGAGTCTCTGAACATTTGAAAAGACCAAACTCTTTAAGTTTTGGTCAACACTTAGTATCCAGCAACCACAATTTTAACATCAATTCTGGTTCATCCATCTTACATGACATCAGTAGAAGAAAAACTATCTTGAGTTGGATTTATTGGAAGATTTGGAGATTACAAGGGAAACAAATGAAAAAGCTCACTGTCTTAATACTCAAATTAATTTAAATTGTACTAAATTTAATCCTATATTTAAAAACTTTATTACAGCTCCACCTCGTAGAGGGCCCAGCTCGACTGTTTAGACTTCATGCACTGAGTATTTACATATTAATTTGAAAGATCTTCCATTGACTGTGGATTCAACTGAACTACTTGGAGTACAACCCATTTATATATTTTGCTTTTAATTTTGATTTTAATTTTTAGCAATTCAACTAAATATTCAGATTTTCTTTTTACAGTACTGATAGCGCTTAGTGGACCATTTTATTGTAGTCAACTATCCACTGTCTAATATATTGTTTAGTCTATTTCTTACATTCATACTTTATGTCAACTTCAATTGCTCTCAAACTAACATCCTAATTATTATAGACAGGTTTGAGTGTGAGATCTGGATTATTAAATCTACATAAAAATATTAGATATAATTTTATATTTCTTCAGTTGATTTCCTATAGTGGTATCAGTTGGACCTTTGGTCAATACTTAGTTTCATAGAATCTTGAAAGGCGCAGATCACTTATCTATTGTAACTGCCCTTCACAAGCTGTCACTTTTTTCAACTATAAACTTGGAGTTTTTATACAAGTGAATTAATTTTCCTTTTTTAAAAAACGTTTCTTGGCTTATTTCAGATGCCCTGAAGATGATCTTGTGATCGAAAGTACTTGGGCAAGATTTGATTAAATACTGTGTTCGATATTTGCCTTGTGTACCATAAAAGTTCATTTATTCGAACATTCAACCTTATATTGAATAAAATATTAGGTTGATATGAAATCTTAACAAGTGTATATTCTAAACATAATCCATGCAACTATAAATGTTTTCAAGCTTGTTCTTTTTCATAGAAGAGGGAGGTTATCTTTTGTAGTGAGACACTGGGTTTCTACACTCATCCAAAAATAATATATATCGTCTTGTTCTAAATTCTTTATTTTTTTACTCAATTACAATCTAGTTAATAAATAAGATTTATTACATATAATATTTGACTAAAAAGTATTACAATAAAAAAAATTATAAACAATATTACAATTTTAGTCAACTATTATATCTTATTTAGCTATTGTTTTCTCTTCTTTGCCAGTGACACAAAATCGCTAAAAATAAACAAATTAAATTATACCATCGAATTTGAATATGTTTTAACATTATAAACTAGATAACAATTTTAAATTCTTGAAGTAAAGTCGTAAGAAGTTATGTTTACTTGACTTAAAATATTTTGTCATTTCATTTATAATAATGGCCTTTTTATGTTTATGGATACTAAATTCTTACTTTATTTAAGAATAACATTGACTTATTTAGTTTACTGACAGACAAGGAGAATGCAACTGTGATAATGGATAAAATTCAATAAGCAAACATAACTAAAGACCTAATAACAAACGGACAGACCGGAAAATTAACAAAGGCTCCAATGAAACCTTTAGAAAACAGAATATACAGAACTTTATTCAAGTTTAAAGATTATTTAAACAATTTTATCAAAGAAGATTAATTACATCCCATTACAGCAAGACACCTCATTTTTATGGAGTACCGAAAGTTTATACTGTAGATCAGGGGTGGCCAACCTTTTTAAGTCGAGTGCCAATATGAGAACAAAAAAAATTTGGCGTGCCACTAAAATTTTTCGACATACTAATATGGATACTATATATTAATAATATACGGTAAAATATGTATTTCTTATGTGAATTCCACATTTTTTCGTTTAGTCAAGATAGTGGAGGTTTAAAAAATAACGTAATAAGTAAAACATAACAACAAACTTACTTTATTGTTAATAAAAATAAAATAAAAACGTTAAACAAAAAAACTTAAATATTTTCTTATTATCTAAAATTCAAATTATTAAACAGTTACTTATTTAATGTGGTATTTGAACTTGTATTTTTTTAATTAATTCATCTATATTGGGATTAATTTCGGAACTAGCCAACAGAATTAGATTTTTTAAATGCATGTCAGTTAATCGTGACCGATATTTTGATTTCATTGTGTTCATAATAGAGAAAATTTGCTCACAAACATACGTTGAACCAAATCTACAACAATATCTCAGAGCTAACTCGTGTAAATTAGGAAAATTGTTTGCTGGTACAAATTTCCAAAATTCCATATAATTGGGATCAGTAACAGTTGAAATAATTTCCCTATATTTGGTTTTTAGTATAGTGTGGTTCTGTAAATCAATAATTTCGATCTGTATTTCAGCTGAGTAACAATTGATATCTTGCAGAGAAATAGAAAAAGGATTTATTAAAAGGTCAACATTCATTTTGTCTTTTTGAAAATCTTCAAACCGGGTATTGAATGAACCTAGCAAAATAGATATAAGATTTTTAAATCTGTCATAATTTGGAGTTCTACTGACCTTGTTGGCTAATTCCTGCATTAATGTGAAATGTGTCAATCTCTGTTCTCCAAAATCGTTACAAAAAAGCATAAGTTTATTCACAAAAGAAGATATATGACCAACTAGGGTAGGAAAAATACTATTTTTTCCCTGTAATCTTAAATTTAATAGATTTAAATGTCTCATAATATCAGTGAGAAAAGCTAAATCCCAAAGCCAATCTTTATCATCAAGTATCATTGTTGTCTTGCAAATATTTTAAGACACACTCCTTCAAGTTCCAAAACCTTTCGAGTGCATTTCCTTTGGAGAGCCAGCGCACATTGCAATGGAGAAGTAACTCTCCATCTTGCTCCGTTTCTTCCGCGAACAGTTCTCGAAATTGTCGTCGATTCAATGCCCAAGCTCGTATTTTGTTAATGCAGCGTGTTACAGGGTCAACAACAGATGACATGTTTAGGTCCTTGGCACAAAGAGCTTCCTGGTGAATAATACAATAATACCTAAAAATTTTCTTCCCAAATAGTTTTCCAGTAATGTAACAAACTTTAGTCTACCAACCATGCAAGGAGCTCCATCTGTACAAACACTATCTAATTTTGACCATTCAACTTTGTTGACTTCGATTACGTTTTTAAGCTGTTGAAAAATATCCTCTCCTGTTGTTGTGACTAGTTGGCGCAAATCCAGAAGCTCTTCGGCATTTCCAAAATTATCATTGGTATAACAGACAAAAATGCTTAACTGCGCATTTTCTATGTTGTCACAACTTTCATCCAACGCTAAAGAAAAGAATTTGCAGGATTGTAATCCACTTATGATTTGGGAAACAACATCCTGGCCCATAAATATCATCTATACGGCGCCTGACTGTATTTCGGGATAATACAATATTATCGACCATATTTTTGATCTTTACATCTCCCACATTGTTAGCAAATATTGCCAGACAATTTTTAATTATCTCCTCCCCATCAGAGTAGGCTTTTTTCTTTCGGGCTAACAGCAGAGAACGTTCATATGATGTTTTAACCATAGTTTCCATTTCATCACTTCTCTTCTGAAACAGTGACTGTTGGCTGGTTAGGGTTTTCTTTTTTTTCAATAAAGTCGGCTCGCAAATGTGAACCAATAGGATATTTGTTGCTGAAGTCCTTATGCAGTTGTTTATAATGTCGTTCCAGGTTAATTTTTTTCGGAACTGCTACAGACAATCCACATATCAAACAAACAGGCTTTGAAGTATTACGATTAGTAAATAAAAATTGTTCTTCCCAAGCAGGTTGAAAATCGCGAATTGCAATATCATCTTTGTATTTTCGTTTTGAAGTCGAAGGCTTACTCGTGGACATATCGAACAAATACTTTTTAAAATTACAAAATTTTAAAGAAACAATGCGCGATGACAAAATGTGCACATACAACGGGGCAGTTTAAAATAAACCAAGCAAGGGTAACGCAGTCCTATTGCACATTACGACAGCTATGATCACGTGCACCAATCGCAGCAATATCGCTCGCCAGAGGATGCAATGATGCCGCATCTATCGTAACTTCCATAAACCTACCAAGTTTCTTCTTATTATTTTTTGTTTTTCAAGTTTTAATTTTTTTGAAAGTTTGATCCGTTTGAAAGTCCTATATGATAGGACTCAATCGTGCCACAGAGTGGCACGCGTGCCGCGGGTTGGCCATCCCTACTGTAGATGATGTATTCTCAATATGACCTAACGAATCGGAGTTGTTGGACATATTCCTTGTAACATTTACCGTGAAAAAGAAATATAATAACACACTACCTTTCCTGGATGTTTAAATATCAAAGAGGGAGACTGTATATGGGACTCAGCTGTATAGAGAACCAACACACCAACACATATCAATCATTAAAGCCTTATACGATAGAGCCAAAATAACTTATTATAACGAAAACTTGTTTTAGGTCTGCTTGGCATTATGCTAAATTAAGTAGTTAATTTAGTAATAAAAATATTGTATCTACAAATTAGATGCGCGCGCCAATTCAGTACTAAAAATTAGAGCATGTTCTAATTTCTTGTACTAAAAATGATGAAATATTAACTAAAAGTGAGGTTATTCTCAACGAATCATAACAGTTTTTTAACCGTAACAAATTATTATTTAACCCCCTCTGTGGCTCAGTGGTAAGAGCGCCTACCTTTGAACCTAAAGGTCGTGAGTTCGAATCTCACCTGGGTGGAGAAATTTTCGTTTATTAAAAATTAATAAGTGAAAATAATTTCTATCCTTGTGCGATCGGTACTCACCGGAGGGACCGCAGACGTTCGGATACAATTAGCGTCTCTTAGCAAAGACAATGCCGTCGACTTTGCTAAGTATCAAGACAATTACTCTACACACACACTACACTCTACACTGAGTACCTGACTGTAAAAATTCACTGTACCATGCCAATGACCATTAGTTGTCGACGCATTAAACTCAATAAAAAAAAATATTATTTATTTGGAAATGGTTTTTATGTGGCAAAAAGTTTTCTACTAATAATTTTTTATCTAACATATTCCTTTGCCTAACACTCTTCTCTCGATCCATTATTTCTCCATACACGTTTTTTTAAGAAGCGTATGATTTTTTTTCTTTATTGCTAGCATCATTATTACAATTAAAGCTACTGCACATAATTTTAGCTTCGTTTTCACAATCTTTATTTACCTGTGTGTTTTGTTTACTCTCATCATAAAAAAACTTTATTGTTAGGTTATCAATACAAAACTGGTAGAGCGCATGCCTACATACTAATTACAATTAAGATAATTGCAAACACAAATACAAATTTTTCATACTAAATCGACTCGCGCAACTAACCTATATTTTTAGTACTAAAATCAGTATTGAAATTAGCATAATGGTAAGGAACCTTAGAAGAGAAACTTTTACGAACATCTGTTTTATTAAAAAATGATTATCCCTTGTCGTTTATAAATAAGGAATTTTAAAGAATAGGCGGAATGGAACAGAACAACTTAGAACAGGATCCTGCAACATTCACAAGGAAGAATACTAGGAAAATAACAATACCATACATAAAAGAATTATCGAAAAAACTCGTCACATTTAAAACAACTAATACATTGAGATCTATTTTATCTAAAATTAATCCTATCAATGAACAAAAAAGAACAAAGAATTGTATTTATAAAATACCTTGTGAATGCGATCATTTTTATTTAGTTAAAACATGAAGACCATTAAACGTTAAAATGAGTGTACATCAATCTTATTTTAAAAGTAGAGATTTTGATAGATCTCAAATATGTAAACACGCATGTGAAATAGAACATTTTTCTTAATGGAAAGATTCAAGTGTAATCCTGAAAGAAACAGATAGTAAAAAGTAAAAAATCTTTAAAACTGCTTGAATTATACTAAATAAGACTTATTGCATTGCAAGTTCCTCGACAAAACTTAGTAGGATCTGGTTACCCATATAAAAATCCCAAATCCCAAACCCAAATCAATAAAAAAAATACTACTATTAGTAAGTCAATAACATTAAGGATACGTGATTTACATACAGCATGTATTTTGTCTTTAGAAATACAACCATATGCAAAGACGACAGTAAAATTCTCCAGTTAGTGGTCCCATAATCAATCAATGAACAAAAACCTAATGATGGTTATGATTATGGTTACGGTAGATCATGGTAGGACCCATCATTTATGAGCCCTTCAGATACTTAGACCTCCTGACACTTGTCCATTGTATCACCTCTATTATACGAAATAGGCCGATAAGGACCTAGTTTTCGGTGTTTCAGGACCCAGGCTGTTCCGAGCTCCCATATCTGTAGTATTTAGCAAGGGCTCCAAAACTGAGCCCTCCCTGTCCTGAACATCTAATCATTTAGTAGCCTTGTGGCTTCGCAGAAATCTACAAGTCTCTTTAGGGATAACTTCCTCATTTAGCTCATTTGCATAAATATCGAATCCACGACCTGCCATCTCTGGTAGGCCAGTGCCGGGCACTTCCAGCGAACATCTGAGAAGAAACCTAATGATACTACCTCGACATGGTAAGTATTTGACTTTACATTTAGTTTACTCTCGGTATTAATATAATTCTATAAACTCTAATTCCAGATGTATGATATTTTAAAACATAAATAATATTTTATTGATTTACTAATAGTGTTTTTTTCCTCTATTTACTTCATCTTTAAATATTACCAGATCCCACTTCCCCGTTATTTTTTTATGAGTTCTGCATATGGTTGTCTTTTAAAAGACAAATCACATGTTATGATTATTCTGATGCGTATTTTTAAGTTAAAGTTAATTTCATGTAACTATCTTCCAATAAAGTCGTACCAGGAACGCAACTTAAAAATAGCAATGTCATTTGAAAGTCATCTACATTAAATTTTATAATGTATATTGAATTGTCATTATGAATAAGCTAAATAAACTTATATTATTATTAGAAGCATTTTTCATTATCAATTAACAAGAACTAACTTTGTTTAATTTGTATTTTGAGAATGATTTCCAAGGTGAAGTCAAAACGACAAACATATTGTAGACTATTATTTTAATTAATTTCCAATAAAAATAGTAAATTGTACTAATATATCACTAGAAAATGACTTCAGAACAATATTAAGATAATTGAAAGATTTGATTTTAATCAATTTGAGTCATTAAAAAGACCGTTCTTAATTTGGCCTTTTTCTAGGTTTGTAATAAATGAAAAATATATTAGTAAAAGTTTATTGGTACTAATAATAAAGATACTAAAGATTAGAGTACCTTAAACTACTTTGCATGGTTCAGTACTTACCTAATAATATCACCGATTTCAGGTGCTCTATAAATATATTTGTGTTGATAGCCACATTTTGATTGAAACTCGTAAAAGATTATGGGCCTGCCGTTCCTCGCCTGCATTTCTTTCCTATCGCATAAAGCTACAAAATAATATAATTTCTTTATTAAGCACTTCATATGAAAAAAATACTGTCGAATTTTTGCATCCTGTTATGTCCTTATCCTTGACGTGCAAATGGAGCTTGTGCCAGGCAGTTTATTGGTATGAGACCAAGAAAATACTAATACGCAAAGTAAATGTAATTTCATCGTGCCCAAATCCGCACGGCCATGCGTGGCTAAAATAACTCTTATATTCGGTCTAGTGGTAGTACCAAGACCTCATCTCCTTTGATACTCCGCCTTATACCTACATTGGAAACTCTGTAGATACGAACTCTTCTTTCCCTTCTACCTGTTGGACCAGAATACACCAAATTAATACAAATCTAAAAAACAGGTGACTTTAAGAAGAACGCAAAATCTAACAAAACTAAGTGGAAAGTTGATGAGGCTGAAGAACTTCCTAAATTCCAAACATGGGAATCATAAGGATATAATAAGAACCACTACCCCTAAAGAAATAACCGCAGTAATCAAAAACAGTATCAATTCGAAAAAGGCTCCGGGATTTAATTTAATAATAATAGGAGAAATAGTACTAACATAATCTAGGAAGGTAATCGTACAACTCAAAATCCTTATAAATGCAGTATTTAGGTTACAATATGTAGCAATAACATGGAAAAACGCTCAATATTTTATGATTCTCAAATTAGGGAAACCAGTAAATAAAGTAGGATCATACAGACTAATATGGCTAGTAATTATCTCCAAATTATTTAAGAAAATATTGCTAATAAGAATACAATCTATACCTACTCGACTACAAAAAAAATATTTATTTTCATCAATTTGGATTCCGTAGGGGAAGCATATTCAGCCGTCGAGTATACAAGTCCGGGGGATGATCTGAGTACGGAAGCTGACGACGCCCATGTGGTGCCACATAGCTTTTGGACTATATTATTTCGCGTTTTCAGTTTTGCGGCCGTTCTTTGTAGGTGTTTTTCAAAACCTAATGTTCTGTCCAGCGTCACTCCAAGATATTTTGGTGTTGAGTTATGAGTGAGCAGTCTGTATTTAAAATGAGCGCAGAGTTTTTTGTTGGCTTGGGCATTATTTAGATGGAAGCAGCACACTTCATGTTATATATTCATTCAGTAATATCCATGTTATTATGTCTTGCTGCAATGGCGCAGTCATCAGCGTAACCAATGTATAAATTAAACCAGCGTAGGTCCACGATGTATAAATTAAACAGTAAGGGTCTCAAAACAGAACCCTGTGGCAGTTCATTGCTAAACTTCATTTGGACACTTTTAAAGTTGCCCATTGTAACTTGAAAAGGTCTGTTAGTGAGCATACTATCAATGAGTTTAGTTACCTTTTGACAAAGGATGGCACGGATTAGTTTGCAGGTTAGTCTTTGCCTCCAAACAATATCGTATGCAGCTGATAGGTCAATGAAAGCAACGAATGTTTTTTGCTTTCTTTGAAAATCTGCTTCAATATATGTTGTCAGGAATATGATCTGATCTGTGCAGCTGCGATAGGTATCAATTCAAACGAGTTTCTACTAATTCTGTTGTATATTAAGCGTTCCAACAGTTTATAGACCTAGCTCAGCAGTGCAATAGGTTGTTAGTTTTGTGGCTGATCATTTACCTTTTCTGGATTTAATATGGCTAGAATGGAGGCCTTTTTTAGGGAATGGGGATTTCTCCTGAGTTTAGCATATCTGTATATAAATCAGCCAGCCACTTCCTAGCATATTTGCCACAGTAGAGTAAAAATTCTAGATGGATTTTACCGGAGCCGGGTGCCTTTCTAGACTTTATTTCTGATACTGCTGAAATAATTTCTTCTGGAGTAAACTCGTCGAGTATTCAGATATAGGCGGACGTGCAGCCTTTAATATTTTTAGTTCTTGTTTTACTTTGGTGGTATGGTCACGATCTCTAGGTGCTCTTGAGGTTGCTACAATGTTGGAGCTTTGTTGGGAGCTATTGGTACTTTGTCTCTAGTTGGAAGTCTGCTTCTAAGTAAAGACCATGATTTTCTGCTTGATTTACTAAAGTTTAATTTTTCACAGTTTCCATCAATTTTTGTAGTCTGGCTGCATCCGCACTGGTAGTAGTTCGTCCGCAATTTCTCGATCTTGGCTTTCGTAACATTCTGATACAATTGCTCACATTTTTTATCCCATTCTGAGCGATAGTGTAACCCCGGAAAACTTTTTTTGATGGTGCTAGAAAGGTCACCAATGGAGACACTGCGGACGGCAGCCAGATGGTTAGTGGAGAGCGAGTCGTGGGTTCGAAACTAGCTTTTGGAACCGGGAATGGGTCCAACGAACGAAATAAGTAAAGATAGAACAAGATAAGATATATTAGAAAAGATACAGAAATAAACAAAAAAATAGATGGGTAAAATTACCAACGATACGATAAGATAGAAATAGGGCGCCACTCAATTTTTTGGGGTTTAAGGAGAAAATTAAAAAACCTTAGAAAAGAAAAGAGATAAGGAAAGATATTTAGGTTCAGAGATCAAACCCAAGAAACGATATCAACAGTTAATTATTAAATAGGTTTGGTCAACACAATATATAAGCAAATAATAAATATATTAGGTGGACTCCGTCCACCTGCTTACCTACAAAACTCAATCAGCCTGATTTTTCTTCTGGTCGAAGGTATAATATTAATTTAATATAATAAGCAAATATTCAGAGGTATTTTGATATCAGGAAACTTGTCAGAAGCCGACAAATAAAATGCGTACATAAAACCAAAACAATATATTCAACAACAAAACGATATCGGTAGCTGAATGTACACACAAGATAAAAATACACCAACAACTATGAAATGGTGGTATACATATAAAAATAAGCAGTAATGTAATTAGAAAATACCTTTACAAAGATATATAATACAATCAGGCAGAAATAAAGTTTTGCGTATCCGAGATATTACAGCAAAAAAAATGAATAAAAATTATAACAAACCCAAAAGATAACAAAAATTAATCAAATCTAAATTTACAAAAATACAAAAAGATTGAAACATAAAAATTTAACCAAACCGCCCTTGGTTAAGTCGATTAGCTATCTCGCACAATTATTTAATGATAAACTGAGACTTAAAAGTTCATAACTATTACTTATTGAAAATTCCTAGTAGCTGATGGAATTTGGTTCGTAACAAAATATTGACTGTTCTTTAAATTGACTGCAAAATTCAGTAGTTACTCTCAACTACAGGTGAAGACATGGATGAACTTTGATTCGCCCAGATAATGGAAGATGATATGATAACATACCATATTACTGCCCAGATAAGTGGAGATACTAAGATTATTTTAACTTACAGTAATTTTTAATGATTGCTGCACTAATTCACAGAAGCTAATACTCTAATACTTTACTTGTATCCAACACTGAATTTAATTAACAGTGACGGTACTTTATAACTATATTTCATCTAATATAGTATAAGATCAAAACAACTCAAATATAAAGTGTATACACGCTTACAAAACAATTCACAGACGGTAAGATAACAAATACGATAATGTGAGCGAAGCGTCTCACGAGATATCAGCCTTTACTCAACGAGAGCCCACTCAGAAGTCCTCTTTCTTCTATAAAATTTTACCAAACTACCCCCAAAAAAAGAAGAAGGGATATCTCCCACTTAAAAATCATAGGCCAGTTGTATGTATTTCGGAGAAGGTAAGATTATAACGACATCGGAAAGTTTGAGGTATTTACGGTACTAGTAATTGGACGTGATAAAACATAAATCTTCTAGATTGGGTCTTTACAGAAAAATTACTATACGTGCCTTCACAATATTTACAAATCTATCATAAAGGACCCGCCTTCACCGAAAAGCATTAGTTCCTTTCCTACTCAGGATTAAGACGGAAAGGATTAAGAACCTTTCGACTCAGTGAAATTCCGTGCATTCAATAAAATTTTAAAGATGGCAAACCGAACATGAGCGTATCATCACGGGGGTAAAAGGAATAAAAATAATTAATATTTTAATTATATAAAAAAAATGTTACAATAGTCTTTACGATTTTCTCTGGGTGCAGTTTTCTTCGCTGTAGAGATAACCACGCCAACAAATGTCATGTAGTTTGCACGTATTGGTGTTATCCATCCCAGACATTTGTTTTAATCTCTTAGTAAAAGTCGCCCAGTTTGATTTTTGAAAGTTCCACCTAGGTCGAGGAAAAGATAATATTACTGGTATTTTGCTGCCAACTTCTATTACAATTGGTCTATGAGGCTATGTCGAGAATCTGAAAGTACTGTACATGAAGCTGCTGGTGGTTAATTGTTTTCATTTGTAAAAAGAAAACATAGGTCTGGGCTGTATCATCGCCTCCTCTGCAGATCAAAAAGTTTCCCTTTAGCGTCAAAGACTAAATAAGTGTCAGCCTCTTTGCTTCAGTTTAGCAGTGCCTCGCATTTTGATCACTATGCCCATACTTCCAGAATCTATAATGACTGTTGAAGTATCCAACATAAACTGAGAGGTGTGGGTGGGCATTAATACCATGCGGAGGCCATAGGACTGCCGGTGGTTTATAAATATTGCTGACAGTAACTTCGGTAATTTGTATAGTAACCATACAAATGATATTTCTGTCTGATGTAGAACAAATGTGTGCATTTTCTATTTTGTTTCGAACATAGGTTGCCACTCATATATTATTCACTCCATATTATTTTCACTCCATATTTACTCCATATTATTCTCTCCATATAAAATATCCACTATATTTATTATATACCTGTGACATTCCTGTTACAGAAAATATTAAACTGACCATTTTTGTAGACGACATTGCAATGCTAACAGTCGGTAAAACATTCGAAAAAACTACTAGACACCTCCAAAATGCAGTAATCAAAATAATCACTTCGATTAACAAATAGCGCATATAATTAATGAAGGGAGATCTGTTCATATTGATTTTACTTACAAACAAATAAATAATCACCCAGTTAAACTAAACAATAAAATCGTCCCGTGAAAATTATCATTTTAAAATGAATAATATTTAATTGAAGCAAAACTTACCTTTTTACCTAGTTTAATAGGAATAACATTATCATCTTGAGCATGTAAAATAATTATAGGTGCATCTACTTCGCATATATACTTATCAGATTCAAGAGTTAGACCATTCTTTTTCATTGGTTGTATAGCGACATAATCAAACCAGGGCAAAAATGTAAATATCTAAAAATTTAATTTTTATGCAATAGGTAGTTATAGGCCTGTAAACAAAATAATATTACATTTATGCCTAAATTTTATGTTTTATTTTAAAGTAATTTTTTATTTAAAATCTAGGGTTTATTTTCAATTTGGTTTTTGCCGAATTTTATAATTAATAATGAGTCATATAGGTTAAACAAAGCTTGTTATGGTTCCCTGTACAAGCGAAAATATAAAGGTATTTTTAAAAATATCCAACAGCTCCAGGTCAAATCAGCCCGAATAAAATAAATAACATGCATAAAAACAAGAATAATATAATAGATGCTTGAAGCATAACACTGGTCCTGTCTTAAATACAATAAATTGATAAAAATATGTCACGGTCAACGTAAGCTTTTTTTTATTTAAGACTTTAAAAGATATTTGGAATAGTTTGTAGGCTTACTTTAATTTTGAAAAAATCACACCAGATACATCAAAAACTGTCACCTTGACCATTAATGGGTATATGGGTATTATATATATATATATATATATATATATATATATATATATATATATATATATATATATATATATGTTGTTAAGGTTCCAAAAAACTTAAAGAACCATACAAATTGTTATTTGGAATAAGCTGGACAAAAAAATAAGTAAGTTTGTTTACTTAAGAAAATGTATAAAATTATTTCTGTCATTAAATATAAGATATGTAAATTAGTGGGCTTATAAAAAATGAAAGCAATTTTTGGATAAAAAGTGACAGTTTTGACATTTTGCGGGGAATAGAAAATAACTTTGACAAACGTCACTCTCTTTAGAATTTCCGAAGGAAGAACGGCTGTTTTAAGAGTTTCGTCGGTGCTGGTGGTAGAAGGTTTAATGCAGTGAAGAGTCAATGGAATGGTGAATTTTTGTGTTGTTTGCTGGAGCTGAGAAAGTTAGAATTTAAAATTGCCAAAGGGTAGTCTTCGTGGTTTTGTTTTCCTGGTGGGCTATATAGAGGTGTTTCGAGAGCCCTGAAAAAGAACCTTACCAGAACTGTAAGTTTGTTTCTTTATTTAAAAATTGCCGTGGCGAAGTGAAATCTTGCAAGAGGGACTTAATTGACTTTTGAATTTTTTTTATTGTCAGAGAACATTTGCTGGGTTTATATTTAAATAATCGAAGGACTTAAAATTTAGTATAAGTATTGTTTTTCATAAAGGGTTTGCATGGATAAATGTTAATTAATATTTTTTTTTAAATTTGTTAAATATAATCTGATTTGTTTATTGATTGAATATTTGTATATTATTTTATTTCTTTCCTTTTTGTCCTCTTACCTAAAATACAACGAGATCGATATTTGAAGCACGATCCTGATAATAAATTGAGGATTTGTTGGTAAGTTTGTTTTTTTTTAGTAACAATTAATTGAATAATTGATAAATATAGATTCTACTTACCATAACAACTGGCGCCGAACGTGAAGGGCTAGAAAAATATCGAGTTGTATTTTAGTGCGGAGACAATTGGGAAAATTATACATTTTCGTGCAGTTTGTTTCCATTTAAAAATTAATATTGGGATTCTATATTCTATATTCTAATTAAGGTAATACATTTGTGTGAGAGATTATTTTTTGTCGACAACAAATTTAAATTTTTTATTTAAAAAAAATCTTATTGTTTGGCGGGGATACAAATCCGTCGGAAATGTCTACGACAAGGAGTAAAAGTTCAGAAAAACCAACGATGGAAAAAGAAAGCCAGGGTTTATCAGATATGGATAAAATCTTACAAGCAATGCAGAATATGGAGCATAACATAAAAAAAAATCAACAGGAAACAATCCAGAATATGGAACATAAAATGGAAAAAAATCAACAGGAAACAATGCAGATGATGGATCATAAAATAAAAAAAAATGAACAGGAAATTAAAGGATGTGTAGAGGGGATAAAGAGAGAAATGATACAACGTATGGAAGAGATGACATTAAAGAATGCAGAAATTAGAAAGGAAATAGAGGATCTAGAAATAAGAAGAAAAGAAGACAAACAAAAAATAGAACAAATTGCAGAAAATTTGGAGGATTTAGGACACAAATGCGAAAAAGCGAGACAATTAGATAGGATAGAAATCGATAAACAAATCGCAAACATAAAAAATCAACAAATAGTCGGAGCAAGAAGGGAAGTAATTATTCATGGCACAGGAGAAGCGAAAATACAATTTGGCGGGGATGTGCGAAAAACACATCCGGTTGTTTTTATTAAGAATCTTAAAAAGAAATTGCAATATACCGAAGATTTCGAGGCGTGCAAAGAAGAAATTAGAAACCGCCTAAAGGAAGAAGCTAGTCTGTGGTTCGATAGTAAAGAAGACACATTTAATAGCTGGGAACATTTTGAAGAAAGATTTCTACAATATTTTTGGGGAAAAATCCAACAACTAGAAATAAATAAAGAGCTTCAAAATGGAAAATATAGTGAAAAATTAGAAAAGTCAGCGAAAACATATGCATTGCAAATGTACAACAATGCAAAACATCTCCAATACAATTATTCGGAAGAACAACTTGTTGATTTAATTGCGAGACACTTTGAAGAAACATTGGAAGACCATGTTACTTTGCAGAATTATAAAAACATCGATGATTTGTGCCAATTCCTACAAGTCAGAGAATCACGTCAGCAGGAAAGAAAAAACAAGAGAAGACAAGAAAATTACCCACACCGGGAAACACAGCACAACAGAAACCAAGGACAAGGCTATTATACAGAAAGACCAAGAAGAGATTTCGTACCAAGGAGGGAATATGAAAGAAGACACGAAAGAGAAAATAATTACGAACCAAGAAACAGACTAGGGAACGAAAATAGAAATAGAGACCAGCGTGAAAACCATAATGCTACAACACATCAAGAGAATAGAAATAACAGACGTCCAAATGAGCAAAGGTATCAGGAAAATCGATACAATGATGATCGACAAAGAGGATACAGAAGAGAAGTAAATAACACTAATATTGAGAGAGTCGAGGAAGACATACACGATAATGAAACGAGGAATCAAGAGACACCGCAGTCGGCTTTTTACGAAAGCGCCCACTAAAAATAAATAAACAGACCGGAATTTTTTGTCACCCAAAAGAATTTATTAAACTTGCTAAAAAAAATGATAGAGAACAGGAATCAAATTTACAATTCGTGAACGGTTTTATAAACAATAAATCGATTAAAATTTTGATAGATTCTGGATCAGAAATATCTTTAATAAATAGAAGATTGGTAGAAGAAGTAAGTTTGACTAATTTGATTTATAAAATACCTAGGGTGAATTTAGTGGGCGCAAACAAAAAGACATTAGCAACGATTAACGAAGGAATAAGGATTAGGATACGGGTGGGAAAGAGATATTATTCATTACAATGTGTAATAATGCCAAATATGTCCCATGACATGATTGTGGGGGTGGACGAACTGTCGGAAAAACATGTAGTGATAGATTTTAAAAATAAGCTGATGAAAATGGACAATGAAATCGTGGAACTGGAGGAAAAAATGGAGAAAAGCAAAGAAGAGGATATAAAATATTTAGAAGCAACTAAACAACGTGAAGTAGAAACAAATATGGCAATAAAGCAAGTAGGAGAAATAAATAACTGGGAACCATCAAAAGAAATTGACATAAATGAGGAAAATAACAGTGCTTGGAAGTCATGGTATGAAGTGAACTTAGAAGAGGAAAAGAAAGAAGGAGATTTGTTTGTAGAGAAAGAAAGAGAAAAGGAATTGAGTGATGATAAAGCTGAAGAAGAAAAGAAAGAAGGAGACTTGCTTGTCGAGAAAGAAAGAAACAAAGAATCGGACATACAAAAAGAAGAAGAAGAGTTAATGGAGACTTTAGTAATTGAAGAAGAACACGTTTCTCAACAGAACTTGGAATATGAAATTAACATATGTGAGCAAAAAGGAAAAGGTGAAAGAAAATTTATATGTGGAGAAAGCATGTACAATGAGATAGATCAAATTCTACAAAACTACGAGGAATTAATAAATGAAGAAAATAGAGTGGCGAAAAATTACGAACATTCATTTGAGGTGAAAGATCTGAAAAATTTCAGATCAAAAACGTACCCAATCCCTTATAAATACAGACAAAATGTCAAACAAGAGATTGAGATAATGATTAAAGATCAGATTATCGAAAGATGTGATTCGCCATATATAAGTCCCATTGTAATTGTAAAGAAAAACAGCGGAGAATTGAGGCTATGTCTTGACGCAAGAAACATAAATCAACACACTGTGGCACAATACGAATCACCTTTGAATATTGATGCTATTTTTGGAAGAATAACAGGAACACATATATTTTCAAAGATTGATTTAAAACATAGTTTCTGGCTGATTCCTTTAGCAGAGAGATGCAGAAATTTTACCGCTTTTTCAATTGACGGAATAGTATATCGTTTCAAAGTGGTTCCATTTGGATTACAGAGTGCATGTGCAGCCCTCGTTCGGGCATTAAACACCATTCTAAATCGACATGAAGATTTTGTGGTTCATTATATAGATGATTTGTTAATTTTCTCACCAAACGCTCAAAGTCATTTAAATCATATAAAAATTATATTGGAGGAATTAGATATAGCGGGCCTTAAACTAAACATTGAAAAGTGCCAATTTTTCCAAACAGAAGTGGTATATTTAGGTTTTAAATTAGATACAAAAGGGGTTAGTCTAGCGGAGGATAGAGTACAGATCATAGATGAATATCCGAGGCCGAAAAATTTAAAGACGTTAAGGGGTTTCCTCGGAATGATAAATTATTTTAAAAAACTGATGCCAGATCTTAGTGAAAAGGAAATACCTTTGATTAAACTATTAAAAAAGGATAAAAAATGGCAATGGAAAGAGGAACAGGAAGAAGCTTTTGTACAGCTTAAGAAAGAATTTGCCAAAGGAGTTAAAATTTATCATCCAATATATGAAATACCATTTATATTAAAAACTGATGCGTCTATTAACAAGT